TTATACCACAATAATACAAAAACAAATAACTCAGATTGAAAATAATCTGAATAGACATTTTTCTAAAAAAGACATATAAACAATCAGTTAGCAGTTGAAAAGAATTCCTAACTTACTAGTCATCAAAGAAATACAAATCAAAATCACAGTAACTTCACACTCTCTAGGATGGTGTCTTAGTCATTTCTATGCACTTAATGAATTTGCTGAGACACAGTACTCAATACCTACACCTTATAGGAGGAGAGGTTGTTTTTATTTTTGCTTTTTGGCTCTCAGTTTCAATAATCAGTCCATGTTTGGCTCATTCCAAGGCAGAAAGGACACAGTAAAAGAGCATGGTAGAGGAAAACTGCTGCTCACTACATGGCTGCCAAGAAATAAGATAGAAGGGGATGGTGGAAGGGCTTGGGCAGCCAGGGGATGTGCTCTTGAGAGGGCAGAACTTGAAACTGTGACAGTCAAACCAAAAGCACAGTGAAGACCCCAGGGAGCTGGAGATGCTAGGAATTTAAAACATGTGCTGAGGGACACCACAGGCGAGGAGTGGAGCCACCAACAGAGAAGCCATGAGGTCTGCAACTGGGTAATATACTAGGGGTGGGGCTGCCTAATCTCTTTGGAGCTCATGGCTTCCAAAAATTTGCTCTGGGTGCTAAACATGGAGCTACAGGATTTCATGTATGCCCTGCTGGGTTTCAGTTTTGCTTCAGTCTGATTCCTTTCTATTTCCTATTCATTTTAGAATGGAAATTTTACCCTGTGCCATTGTAATTGGAAGTGTTTAACTTTCTTTTTGATTTTTACAGGGACTGAAAAGAGTTTGCCTTGAGTCTCAGAGGAAATTTTGGATTTGGACTTTTTAGCAATGCTAGAACTGTAAGACTCTGGTTTTTTTTAGACATGAACTAAATGCATTTATATAAAGAGATGTGCATGAGTCTTTTGCAGGCCAGGGGTGCACTATTATGGTTTATATCTAGATATTCTCCAAAGGCTTCATGTGCTCTTAGGTGGAACCTTTGGAATGTGATTGGATTTGGGGACAGTATAGCTGACTTGTTGATAGGCGATAGAGTCTGTTTGGAAGTGGGTTATAGAGCCTGATCACATAGGTTATACCTCTGTCCCCAGCTCCTCCTCTCTTCTCTGCTTCCTAGATGCTATGGGTTGAGTACCTTTTTCCTCTGCCATGCCTTAGAACTAGCTGACCATGGTCTGAATTGTGAGCCAATAATAATTCATTCCTCCTTTCAGCTGTGGCTGTTGAATATTTTGTTCTACTGATGAGAAGTTGATGAAGACATATGGCTAGACTTGAAATAAAATTAGTTTGTAGAAGCTTTGGTAAAGATACAGGAAGAAAAGATGGAAATAAAGTGTTTGTAGATAGGGAGGGGAGGGGGGGTAAAGGGAGGGCAGGGACAAGGGGAAAAAAATGAGAACCAAGACCTGTCATGTAGAGGTACAAGATCCCAACAAAGAATGTAACTGTACCATATCCCTAAAATGTACCAATAAAATCAATTAAAGCTGGAAAACAAAAACAAAAACAAACCGCCCCCCAAAACTAGATACTTCATATAGTCCAGTGGGAATGTAAAATGAAAAGCATGACTCTAGTAGTTCTTCAAATGATCAAACACAGAATTATTACATAATTCAGTATTTTCAATTCAGGGGAGAAGAAAACATGTATCTACTCAAGAACATGAACAATATCATTCATACTATTAAAAAGAACCTATCAGGGCCGGGGATTTAGCTCAGTGGTTCCACCACCTGCCTCGCAAGCACAAGGACCCGAGTTCGATCCCCAGTATCAAGAAAATAAAAAGAAACTATCAATTGAAGATAAGTGAAACAATACAAAGTTTTCTCAAACGTATCATAAAATAATAGTACTTAATATGAATCACCACCTTCTACTTGTATTTTCTTCTCTATACTTGTAAGAGGCAGATTTACTCCTAGGACATTTGCTTTACTTCAATGTTCATTTGTTAAATTAATCTGGGCTAAAATTAGAAGAGACTGTTAAATTTCTGCAATTTGCAACAGGAAAGCAAACAGGAATTGGATTTGTCCAGGATAAAAACTGCAAAAAATATTAAACTGTCCTCAAGTGTTTGTAAGTTTATAGCTCCCTTGAGCTTTGATCTTAGAATTAAAAAAATCATTTCTTCCCAATTATTTTGGAAATGCGCAAGACCAACATGCATATTAAGATTTCATTGATCCCATTTATGGTCTTCTCATTACTGAAATGAAAATTAAATGAAACTGTATCAATGAGACTTTGAGAGGCTAGAAGTGAGGGTGAGACTAAACTGACAGTATTATTTTGGCTGGCCAGACATTCTAATAGGAAAAAACACAGCAGCCAAGAAAATACTGTGGAAGGACAGATTTAACATCAATTTTGATTATGGTGTCATAAAAATGGCATGTGTTACAGAAAGTTTATCAGAATATCAGTTTGAAATAAGGTAGACAGAATGGAAGAAGACATTTCAACTGAAGGATACTTTCCATTTCTCTGTCTTTTCATAGGAATCCATGCATTCTTATCATTCTTTCTACCACCTGTGAGCAAACACTTCTATAATCTTCTCTTTATACATCTGATGTCACATTACAGAATGGTCTAGTTCACTTTTTCCAGGCAGAATGGGCTATAAAGAAACTTAAATAATGATATAGGCTAACCCTATGTCACTCTCCAGGAAGGAGAGAGGCATACAGATGTGAAAAGATCATTCCAGGTGTGAGAAGGAATAGCAGCACAGCAAATGAGCAGTGTCTAAAGGAAATGAGAACACATAAGGAAACACTATGCAGTAAAATATCAGAATTAATGGGGTCTGGCAGTTGGTAGCAAAACGAGCTCAAATTCAGAAATACCAAGAGGCAGGCAGTCAGAAAGAAGTCTGCCAACAAGAAGTGTGGTTTCAAAAATCATGGTGAGATTCTGGGACAGGGCTCAATCAAAGGGAAAGGATCCAGGAATTATAGTAGTTTTAGTCTGACAAGAAAGGTTGTTAGGCTAACTCATTGTCCACGAATCCATAGTGAGCTTCAGAAGCCATATCAAGTTTAATCAGATCCTCAAGGTCCTATTAGTTGTTACCAATTTATTCTAAAGAATTTCAAGGACTTAACTGTTTGGCAAACAGAATTTATATTGTCTTTTAATCCAAATAAAAGGTAAAAGTTAAATCCTTCAGCTTCATTTATGGCCTTTAATTCTTTAATCTTTCTAGCTCAGGTACTGGTCTTACAGACTTGCTAAGTACTCAGTTCACAGGAGGGAGGCAGGTGGCTTTAGTATAGAAGTCCTGGGAGTCAGGAAGAGCCCACTATTTTCCACAGGCTCTGCTCTTTAACTTTTCATTATCTTTAGGGCATCAACTGGGGTTTCCATTAGAAAATGAATTATGCCAACACACACACACACACACACATACACACATATACATTAGCTTTTTTCTTTTTTTTCCTCATTTTTATCGGTACTTTTTAGGTATACAATACAGTTATATTCATCATTGGGATCTTGTACCTTTACAAGATGTATCTTGGAAGTCAAATACATTTTTAAATGTCATCCTGTCCCTTCTCACTACTACTCTTACTAAAGTAGCAACAAGATATTTCATTTTATTATAAATGGACTATTTTAAAGACTGAGGAAGAATGGCTTAAATTACATATTTATTACTTATCCATTTTTTCCATTAAATTTATTGGTACATTTAAGGTAAAAAATACAGTTACATTCATCACTGGGATCCTGTATCTTTTTTTTTTTTTTTTTTTTTTTTTTTGGTACTGGGATTGAACTTGGGACCTTGTGCTTGCGAGGCAGGTGGTGTAACTACTGAGCTAAATCCCCAGCCTGGGTTCTTGTACCTTTACATGATGCATCTTGGCTATTATTTTTCCCCATTCCCCTGTCCTCCCTTCACCCTCTTCATCCCTCTCTATTTACAAAGTCTTTGGCTCCATTTTTTCCTTTTTTCATATTTTTCTTTCCCCTTATTTCCTTTCCTCTATCCTTCCCACTTCCCCTTCCCCTTTAGACTTTTACTTATGCATTTATTAATCCTGTCTCCTTCCCTCATGGGCACTGAGATATATTTTTATATCTATATTAGATTACCTTGACTACAGCTTATTTCTAATTACCATAGATGCTACCTTATAAAGATGCTTATCTATATAATATTATGTCATATTAGGGGATCCTTTGGAAAAAATGCTATGAAAATAAAGTATGCTTATAAAGACCAGCCAACCATTCTTCTCTAATGCATTTTATGCTGAGAAAATCCTTATGTTTCCACTCAGGAAAAGAAATGACTTTATAGGAATAGTCAGGCACATCTTGCTATGTAAGGACAGGAACATGGAACAAAGGGAGAAAGAGGGCTTAGATCTTCCCTGTTCTCCTAGAGGTTTGGTAAATGGATCACATTATTAGTGAGGTGTATTCATTCCTGTATAAATAATGCACATCATTTTTTTAGTTTCAAAATTAACTCATTTATTCTTAGAGCAACTTAAGTTTACCAAAAAAGAGAGCAGGAAATAAAGTAGGTTCACCGTGTAATCTCTCATCTTCCCTATTTCCTGAGCCCTTTACTTTCCCACAAACATAGCATCTTCTACTTTTAATATCTTGCATTCTTGTGGTAATTTATTACAGGTGATGAGCCAATACCAATACAAAATTATTAACTGAATTTATAGTCTATAGTAAGGCTCCTTTTTTGTACTGTATATTCTATAGTTGTTGACAAATTTATGACATTGACACACTATTAAAGTGCTGTACAGAAGAAACCACTGTCCTAAAAATGACCTGTGCTCCAGCTACTCATCCCTGCCCAGTTTTTACTTTTATAGATCATACTTTTCAACAGAAAAATCACTGTTCAGTTTTTTTTCGTAGACTGTTTAGAGACTATCTATTATTTTATAGGGAACTGAAAACTTACCGGCTCAACAAATTCAAACTTCTTCTTTTCTTGAACCTCTTGAATTTTAAAGACATATTCCAATGATGCTTCATAGAAGTTTTGATGCTCTCGGTCAATCTGTGTATCTGCCTGAAGAATAAGAAACAGGCAAAGCATGGCACAGGGAGTAAAAACCAATGGTTCTATATAGAGATAGAGTCAATGCATTACTTCAAAATGTTTACTGAAACGAATTCTGTAGGAAGGTTTAATAAAGCAGTTATTACAGTCCTTATTCACAAGATCTTACAGCACATAGAGTCAAGAAACACAGACACACAGAGGAAATGACAGGAGTTATTCTCCTGAAAAAGTAAAAAAAAATTGAAGGGTTTGACACAGTTTTTTTGCAGGGCAAATATAGGGAAAAAAGAAGAGTAAGTGAAATCTGCATCACACTATGAGAGAGCTTGCACCCTGAATATTAAATCTGGATATCAAGAAAGGGAGAAGAATCTGGGAATATTAAGCAGAAGGGATGCATCATTAAGTAAAATTTTGGAAAAATAATATGGTAGCAGAACCAAAAAAAAAAAATTCAATAGCTCTAACCTGATGAATCATGTTCCATCACTGACAGGCACATTCATTCTTTCTGAATGCAATAAGGTTCTACTGATAAAGTGTGGGAGAGCATTACTGAGAAAATTTCATTTTCTTTCTGACTTTACTTCTCTCCCCTTTTTTTGTGCCCACTACCACTCTCAGATGCACTCTTAAAATGGACTTTAGTTCAGCAGAAAGACACAGTTTACTTGTCCAGTTTCACACCTCTAGCTGACAGCTGGGATTACTGAAAGCCGATGAAAATAACAGGCAATCTGGGGTATCAAAGTGTCCACTCACAATTAGAGAACAGAAAATTGCTTTGGAGACATTTAAAATAGTTATTTTATGAAAGAAAATCTTGAATAAATTAAGTTTCTTGGCATGGACATCATCACACCATAAGATTTCATTTCAAGCTCCTTTAAAAATAATTATAATCTTAGGCATCTATGTACATACCAGTGATTATGAAAAACCCAACATTATCAGCAACTCATTTGGATTTTTAAAGTTGGTAATTCCAAGTTTTTAAGCTAATATATGTGAAAAATATATAAACCATGTGGAAGCTTTGAATAAAAGATTTCTGAGTTCTCATAGATTATTTAGAAAAGATCCAGGCACCAACTATAAAAATCAAAAGAAAATACATATTCTAAATAAACCAGGGCCGGGGATTTAGTTCAGTGGTGCCGCCGCCTGCCTTGAAAGCACAGGGTCCTGAGTTTTATCCCCAGTACAAAAAACAAAACAAAACAAAACAAAAAATAAATAAATAAACCATATCTCTTTTTTTCTTACCATCATTTAAGGGAGACACACAAGATACATAGTGGTATATATGTTTAACGACTGGTTTTCTAGGGAGAAAAACCTGACTTGCAGTTTTTGCTGGTTTCCTACAAATAGTCCCTAAATGACCACTTCCAAATCACAAACTCATTATCACTGAATGTAGGAGTGAGAAAGAGAAGCAAAAATAGGCACTCCAGAGCAAGCTTCAGTACACTACAGATGAAAGAGATGCAAGAATATCTTATATTCTGAGGCAACATTCTACTCCACAAGCTACTGTTAAATTTTAATTACTTTAAAATGTGATGGCCGGGGATATAGCTCAGCGGTACTGTGCATGCCTGACAAGGGCAAGGTCCTGAGTTTGATCCCCACTACCAAAAAAATAAAATGTGATGACATTAATTGTGCTGCCTACCATAATGGAAGAAACTGATCACTGCAACAGCTTTTGAGCCTGCACTGGTTACTACTAATCAACAGGTTATATAGAAAACAGTTAAATACAGCAGTCCTGGACTGCTATCTTTTGAAAGGTCTCCTTACAAAACTGGTCCTAGGCTGCTGTCTGGGAATGTGAATTGGAGAGTGTTAGCTGATAAGGATGTGCCTAAACTGTACAAACAGTATGGTTTATGCCAAACACTTCCTTTTCTTTCAAGAGTGTGAAATATGGGTAAATGCCAGGGAGAGAGGTACCTTTGTGATAATCCTGCAATAAAACTCTGAGCAGTGATTTTCTCATGAACTTTCTTGGTAAGGCAACATTTGACATGAGCTGTCACTACTCACTGTTGGGGGAAGAAAGCATGCCCTACTTGTCTCCACTAAGAGGATAAGAAGGTTACCCCAGCCTTTGCTCCAAACACCTTTCACTTTGCCTGTTTTTCTTTCTGTCCAATCACTGTAATAAATCACAGCCATGAATATGACTGTATCTTGCATCCTATGTGTCCTCCTAGATAACCAACAACCACAGTGGGAATCTTGTCAACCATTAAACAAGAGCATGAAGTCACTGATTCAGAAATTATTTTGCTATGTACAGTACTATTCCACTGGACCCCCCAAAAGGGGCAGGGTGCAAAGAAAGAAGAGAAATGATGATTCTTGTCAACTGCTAGTTAAAGATGTTTTCAAGCATCTTTAACATAGGCAACTGAAATTTGATATACCAAAGCTGCTCTGAGGACAGCTTAGATATTTTCAGTACTAGATATATAAAGGTATTTTTATAACTGGAATGAATTACTGAAGTATATAAGCAGACTGTGTGGTTCACTAGTGAACACTTGCTTATGAATCTAGTAGCTGCTGGTGCTATAAATTTGGTACTGGATAAGTAGATCAGTGATACAGCTTTTAAGTCAAATTGAGACAATTTTAAAACTAAAAGGGAACATTAGCAACAATTATGTCAGAACAACATGTGTACACTGTTGTTCACACGGCAAGAGTGATTGTGAAGTAAGAAACCAAATTAATTTCACAGGAAAACCACATGGTTCTACACGTACTTAAATCTTCTAAGAAAGTACAATAAACTACCTTGACTCAAAATAGGGGGAAGCCATGGGTGATACGTGTTTTAATCATTCCAAGAGGACAAAAGGTTCAAGATAGCCTATAAAGAATAAGCACGTTTAACTTTGGTAATTCTTATGTATCTAGAATCTGTTCATTGGTTCTGTGTTTTCCATCTTATTGGAATACTGGTTCTTGCTGATCCTCTGGATTTCTGCAGGATCTTTTGTGACTTCACCTTTTTCATTACTAATTGAATGGATTTGAGCCTTTTCTTTTGTTTTGTTGATAAGGTTGGCTAAGGGCTTGTCAATTTTATTTATTGTTTCAAAAAACTCTTTGACTAATCTTTTTGTATCATTTTCTTAGTCTCCAAAAGCAATTCTAGGCAACAGAGACAAGGTAGGAAGTATCACAATTCCCAACTTGAAACTACACTACAAAACCACTGCGATAAAAACAGCATGGTACTGGCAAAGAAACAGACCTGAAGGTCAGTGGAACAGATTACAAGATGCAGAAACAACACCAGACAAATTCAGCTACCTTATCTTTGACAAAGGAGCCAACCATCCTCACTGAAGGAAAGACAGCCTCTTTAATAAATGGTGATGGAAAAACTGGATTTCAACTTGTCAAAGATTAAAAACTAGACCCCTATCTTTCACCACACACTAAACTAAAATCCAAGTGGATTGAAGATATATATATATATACACACACACACACACACACACACACACACACATATATATATATATATATAAATATATGTAAAAGAAATATATTAAATATATAAATACAGATATAAATAAAATATATAAATATAAATAAATAAATATATATATGTAAACAGAAACTCTAAACTTGCTGGAAGATAAGTTAGGTGGGACTCTTGAAGATACTGGTATAGGAAAAGCATTTATGAACCAATCCTCAGTAGCATGGGGACTAGCACAAAGAATCAACAATTGGCATCTCATCATTTTAAAAAGATTCTGCAATGCAAGAGAAATCACCAACAGAGCTAAGAGGCAACCTACAATGTGGAGAAAAAAATTCATCAGTTGCTCCTCAGACAAAGGTCTGATATAGAATATAAAAAGAGCTCAAATAAATCAAACACCCCAAATATAAAGAAACAATATAAAAAAAAGGAACCTGAAATGAACAGACATTTCTCAGACAAACAAATGAAAGCAGCAAATAAACATGAAAAAATGTTCCACATCACTGGTCATTCTAGAAATGCAGATGAAAACAATGCTGAGATTCCATCTCATCCTAGAAAGAATGGTTACTATCAAGAAATCAACCAATAACAAATGCTGGAGGGGCTGTAGGGAGAAAGGAACTCTTCTCCACTGTGGGTGAGAGTGCAGGCTGGTGCAACCACTGTGGAAATCAATATGGAAATACCCCAAACAACTAGGATTAGAGGTCCCATTTGACCCAGCTATTCCACTGCTGGGTATCTTCCCAAAAGAATTAAAAGAATCATATCACAGTGATATTTGCTCACCCATGTTTATAGCGGCACAGTTTGTAATAGCTAAAACTTGGAAACAGCCCAATTGCCCATCAACTGGAGACTAGATAAAGAAGATGTGGTTATTTTTATTAAATAGCCATAAAGAATGAGAAACTAGAGATATTTATAGCTACCTGGATATACATTGACACCATACTCCTAAGTGAAATTAATAAGACACACATGCGTAAATACTGAATAGTTTCCCTGGTGTGAAAAACTAAAAGTGTAAATAAGGATCAAAATGTATAACTGATATTGTGTAATAGGAAGAAAAGGTCTAAATGAGTAGGGGAAATAGGAGGAACCAGGGAAAGGTAAAAAAGGAAAAGAAAAAATATGAGAAAAGGATAAACATGGAAATAATGTCTTTGTAAACAGGGCAGGGTGGAGGGAGTGAAGGGAGGGCTGTGAAAGGGGAAAAATAAGAACCAAGGTAAGTCATGTAAAGGTAGAAGATGCCAATGATGAATGTAACTTTACTTTACACCTAAAATGTTCCAATAAACTTTTTAAAAAAGAATTTTTTAAGGTTTAGAGTAGGTGGAGAGATAAATAAGAAGAGTCTGAGAAAAAGAACAGAATCAGAAGTCAGAAGTTTTCTTTCGGTTGATCAAAAGATATGTGACTGAATGTTCAGTCTGGATCAATCATAATGACAGTTCAGGTAGAAAAGCTGACATAGACTACATCCTATGAATAGTGCAAACACTTGAGGATGATGCTAAAGGGACCCAAGCTGTATTTCAAGAAGATTAACATGAGGACAGTGGTGAATTCATTGATTAAATGTATGCATGGGAACATAAGATCTTTTATTTGGTAATGATAAAGTGTCCAGTATACCCCCAGAAGAAAGTTAGGTTAAAAGATGTGATGTGAAAAACAAGGGAAAAGAAAGATGAATTTGACAAAAGAAATAATATTAGCATTAACAGATAGTAAAGGAAATGAGAAAGAGAAAATTTTGGAAAGAGTGATGTGTAAGATTTTATAAGTTTCACTAAGAAATGATACTCTAAAGCCTCAGTAACTCTGGGCATTGCAGAGTGGTCAGACCTGACAAGATCACGCTCTGGGATCCAGTCCAGACAATAAGGAAGGAGGAGATCCTTCCACATAAATGGCAGGGTAAGAACACAGTTCCTAGAACTGCATCGAAGGGTATCACATCATTACAGGGGTGGGGATAAGGGGAACCTGTCAAAAGAGTATTTAGTGGCAGATGAAAACCTCAGACACAGATTTCTAAAAGGAATCTATCTTGTACTTTACTTTTTCTCCTAACTACAAATGCAATAAATATTCATTATGGTAACTTTATTATTCATTACTACAGCACAGAAACGTGAAGATAAAAATCACCGTACCATTATTAATAGTTTGATGTGCAACACACACAAAAATCTACTTTAAAAATATCTGGGATATTATTGTATATTCTGGCTAAAAATTTATTTTTTCTTGCTTAATCTAACAATATTTCCAATATTTTCAGTATTTCAGTGATTTATTTATATAAATTTGTGTATTTGAGGTAAATTTCTATCAATAGAAATAATTTCAACTACTCATTACAATTCCAGTTTTCTGAAATACGGTATCAAATTTACCTTGGGATGAGAGAGTGGGAAATGGAGAATAGATAAGTGATTCTCTGTCAAGACATGTTATGTGCATATTCCAATTGGCCAAAATTAACATCACTACTCTACATTACAAGCATTAATAAAAAAATAAAAATATAAAATGAGTAAATATTTTATGTTCTCATATGTATACCTTATTTCTGATGCTTCCACTAACAATGATTATCTTTTAATAAATTAAAAATGACATATTAGTTTACATTGTTTCAGATGTGACATTGTGATATTTATTATAGTTTACAGTTCCCCTTTGATCAGTTCTCTCTTGTATCCTTAGACTATTTTTTTTACTGATTTGCAAATGTGTCATATTTAAAAGATGGTAATACTATGTCATGTTGTGTAAATTCCCTAATGCTTTGGCATTTAATCTTGTTTAATATTTTTAAAATATATTATTTTAATACATTCAGGTTTTTCTACATTTCCATTTTGATTTCTTCCTTTTATCTTAACCTTTGAAAGGAATTATTCATTCATATATCCAGCATGATTTCTTTTCATCCACTATAAAGCCTGCAATCTTGACAAGTTTGTTTCCAATTCTCCAACTGTTTACTCCAATGACCTGTCTAACTGATGGCTTTGAAACTCTGTCAACACAAGCTGACCTTTCAAGTAATTTCTGAAAATGGCCAGCTGCTTATTTTCTATGAGCAAAATGAATAGGAAGTCAGCAGTGCAGGTTAAGAACACACAGAGGGATCTTTCTGAGAACAAGTTAATAAGCATGGTGCTGACTGAAGAGCCAAAGCTGCTCTGGAAGGGAACAGATGACATCTCATGCTATGTCACAGAATTAAATGCTTTTGTGGCAGCATCTCCCTGTGACAGGTTTAATTCTTGGAGGAGAAAGGGGGGAGAACCAAGTTATATTTTTCGCTGTCTACATTGTATCTCCCTAAGGAACTGCTTTAACACATCTTAGGTTGTGCTGTGTTAAGGGCTGTACCTGCTGGCAAAGAAGTGTGTACATGCTTGTACATTTGTGGGGTAAGACGGGGAAGAAGATATTACAAACTATGTTAGAGACTTTTCTAGCCTCCAACTAAATACAGAACCAGAACAAATACTCTAATATACCATGGCCTAAGGAACTGTAGGTCACTAGCAAGGAAAGTTACATATTGAGCTAAGATGTCAGGAAAAACTGTAACATAGCCTCTAAAAGGCAATAAATTACGATAAAGTTACCCTTTCCTTGAGAGCTTTGAAGCAATGTCTTGTCTAAAGGTAGCCCTCATATTGACCAAGAATCTAAAGTTCACTAGGGACTCTAAAAAACAATCTTGATTTTGAGGAAATCAGTTTTTTAAATGACACCTGGCCATAGTCCTTTGCATGGCAGATGACTATGTACTGATGACAATTATGGGAGCCTCCTTCAAATTTCTCTCTAAAGTCTACTCTAATGCAACATAAAATGAGAAGTACGAGCATGTAAAACATCTGTAACACATAAACAGAATATTAAATTACAATAGGCAATAACTTCTCATATGAAAGTAAGTATGTCTAAGAAATTTAAAATAGAATCTAGTTTTTCTTAATGGCAGATTGTCTTCCATTTCACTTCAGTCACTTGAGCTCTGCATGAGCACAGAATTGTACACAAAGCATGCATTAATAATGGAAGACATAGATTACAGTGAACTCATGTATACACATCCAGCAAAACCAATTCTCCCAATATGAATCAGCTTTAAGTGAAGAAATAATGTCTTCAATAATATGAGTATGCTGGGGAAAAAAAAGGAATCAAATGCCAAAATAATATTACGTTTTTTTTTTCCCTCTGTGGAAATTTTAACACTTTTGTTAAGCATGAGTTTCGGCTAATCTTGGAAGCGTGGGAATAAAGAAATGGGATTAGAAGTACAGAGGATCAAGAATTTAAAAAGCAGTTTGCAAAGGGAGGAGGCTTTGCTAGGATGAGGATCACGATGATATATCTGATAGTGGTTCTTCACTGTGATATCTAGAAGTAGAGGGAGGGGCAACCAGAGATACTCACAAAGACTGGGAATGTCTGTAGATTCCCTAATAGGTTTTGGATGGTGTACTGAGCTGTGGGTGTACCACCTCAACAACTCCCCGCTCCCTACTCACTGCACTGCATACTAGCTGAATTTCCATGTAGAACTTTATAGTTTTACTGTTCCTAAGATACCAATGGCAAGGGAGTCTTATTTTTTGTAGCTTTTTTTTATACCAGGGATCGAACTCAGTACCTTGTGCTTGTGAAGCAGGCACTGGAACCACTGAGCTAAATCCCCAGCCAAGGGAGTCTTATTTTTTTGACACAGTCTATCATTCAATCTAGAACTGCACTGTTTCTTAGTGGAAGAACTACTGTTGATTTACAAATTACAGTTACAATGCTACCAATGGAAGGAATATAATATATTTCAGACAAAGGGAAGTAGACTGCAAGATATATATACATATTAGTAAAATATTCTTTATCCTTTGTTCCTAAAAAATTGAAAGTAATTGAGATTTTTAAAGTAAACACTTCTATATCTTTTTCTGTCAATCTGAAACACAGCTTTAAAATCAATGGCAGAGATTTTTAAAATTTAACATAAAATGAACTTGATATGACTTCCTGCTAAAATATGATCAAGAAGAAGGAAAAAAATCTTGTTTCAATACTTCTAATTGTTGAAGGAAATACTAATCTTTTACTTAGCACCACTAATATTAAGTGACAAAATGTGTCCAATGCGCTGTCCATAGTAGGCTCAACCAAGTTGATTACTATTATTGTTCTTTTATTAAAAAATAGGACATTGTGACTTTGCATGAGTTAATATTATTGCCTTCTCTACATTTCAATAAGAAAAGCTCACCTCTTGCAAATGAGATTCCTTTTTCTTTGCAGACAAATTCAAATGCTTGTCAAGAATAGAATAGTATTTTTCACTCTCCTTGTCAAATTTCTTCTTTCCATCCTAGGGATAGCAATTACAATTAGAAAAATTCAAATCAGAGCATCAAGGAAGCCTTCATTTTCTCAATACTCTCCAAGAGTCCAATATAGTTATTTAATATAAAGTTGGAAAGTTTCAACTATGTGCAAAACCTTAATTCAATAGAGTGTTGTAGATTATTCAGATGGGTTAACATACAACTGGTTCAAAGAACCACTCATATAGACTATATTCATGGAATCACATTATTTCCCACCCACGTTTTCAAATGACTAAAAAAAAAAAAAATTTTTTTTTTTTGGTACCGGTGATCAAACTCAGGACTTTGTGCTTGAGAGGCAGGTGTGGCACCACTGAACTAAATCCCTGGCCCTCAAATGGCTAATTTTTGACAGAGAGGAAAGCAGACCTTCAAATGCAGCAGCCTCAAATAAATAAGAAAATTAAAAGTCAAATCAAAAGGATTAACATCTGCGTCACATATTCTAACTTTTCTATTTCTAACACATCAAGTTTTCTTTATGGGGGTGGGAGGGTGCCAATAAACAGGATGGTCTTTTTATGAAGGAAGAAAATAACTTTACTTTTTAGCTAACGGTATACTTGCACAGAAGTGAAAATGGAAGGAAATACTGAAGGGAATAAAATATATACCTGGGCATATAATATTCTGAAGCTATAAATATTGTACTACCAGGTATGTCTATTTATTCATCCATACAACATTACTAAGTAATTTGCATGCACAAATGTGACTGGTCAAAGAAATACTAGTCCCTCCTTTTAGTGTTTTTGAAATTGAAATTTCTGGATTACCTGAATCAGAGTCAAGTGTTTATTGTTTGTTCAAAAATTCACAGTCCTACTTCCCTTCATCCAAAGACTGTAGAACTATTTTTTAAACTTCTACGATTATTACTCATAATGCTTTGTTCCATTACTTGCATAAATACTTGGAAAAGTTTGCTTAAAAAAAGCTGTGTGGACAGATAGATGAAAGAAAGGAAGGAAGCAAGGGAAGGAAGAAAAAAGGAAGGAAAGGTAGAGAGAGAGGAAAAAAGGGAGGAAAAGGAGGATGAAATGAAAGGAGGTCAGACAAAGAAGGGGAAGAAATAGAAGACCTCTAACTTAGGGGGGTCTTTCCCACTACTGTAAGGCTGTCAGATCCAAGTCAATGCACCCAGGTAATACTATTTTAATCCACTGGCATTCTGAACTTTCTTTTCAAATACGCTTTCACGATCACATCATGATCTGTTTCCATATATGGAATTTTAGAAAAAATTGATAAAATTGAGTTGAACAGGAGGGTTTCGCTTTAAAAGTTCAAATGAGTTTTATTTAAGAAGTATGAGAAGTTTGTACATTAAAATATTACATCTGAAAATAAAAGAGGAAAAGTTCTCAAAACCTTTAAGGTGCTTTTATTACGTACAGAGAAAGTGTTGTCTTATTAAGAGAAACAAAACTGGAAAGTAAGAATACCATTTCCATCCAAAAAAGATTTTTTGGGGAATTTACAAAACAAAATATGGAAGAGCAGACTTCAAGCAGAAAGACGCACAGGTAATTGCATAAAAATTAAAACTTTATACCAGAGGTTCAAATCCTCTTCTTAACAGAATGGTATGAGATTGATCTTCATGTTGTTAGAACAGACATTTTGGTGAACATTTCATCTTTTCCTTAGCTGTTCTTACTCTTTAATGTGATATTTCATGCCTACAACTAATCTATCCAATTTACCTTTCCAAACACCATTCTTACTAACTCCTTTTCAGCTCCCTTTTCATGTTCTCTTTTGTTCTTCCTTTATTCCAGACTGTCCTCTCTGTCATTAATGCTCATTTCTTCCAATTTATACATATTCAAGTTATATATACTTTTACCATCGAGATCAAATAAACCTCATCCCTAAGTCCCATCTATCAGCACTCTATCTTTTTAATATTCACACAGCCATATAAACAAGTCTCTTGGTGTCCCTGGTCTATGCTATAGCAGAGAGATTATGTATATGCGCCATTCACCTTAAAACTGAACATCCAATGAGTAACCAACAGAAATTTAAGAGGTAGTGAAATTCTCTCTTATTTACATGTATGGCCACCATAATCCCTCACAGAAATTCTATTTGCTCAATAAATTGTTGCAAGAGGCAGATTTGCACAATTAGCCCAAACTCAGGCCCAAAAACCTCAATATGAGTGGGTAACCAGCTGCATTTGAGTGTAATACATAAAACTGACTCGCGTGCAAATTACAATATAGGCCTACAATTTTGTACTGGGCACAGAAGAGGAAGATACTGGTTTCAAGAGACTACAACACAGCTGTGGTGATGACACTTGTGTTTTTGTTTTCAGCTAGTGTTTGGGGACATTTTTGGAAATGTTAATTCAATGCCAACACATCAGCATTTCTGGCAATACAAGAATCATTTCTAGAACCACTTCCTGGATTCTTATTCAAATTTTCGCTCTTCACAGGCCAGAAAAAAGAAAAATTTACTCTAAGGTTCCAGTGATGTAGAAAACAAAAACACACTCAGTTCGAGCATAAAATAAAGAGGTGAGATTAAAAGACTAGACCACACAAAGGACAACTATAATCTAGGGAAGCATGTTCCAGAAAACAAAAAGCACTATTTCCTGAAACTCACATTACGCCTAAAAGCAATGATTTACTGATCACATAAGCCAAATCTTACTTGGATTCAGAAACAACCCACACAGCTCTCTCTTGTCTCTTGTGTACTTGTTATGGAAATCAAACCAAAATTTCTCTAAAAGTAGTGCTGGGAAGGAATGGAAAATAATCCGTAAATAAACCTTTACTATATGCTATGCATAATCTCTGTCTTCTTATTGCTAAAGCAAGATTTTAATAAAAGGAAGACTACATATTATCATGGTACATTTTCCTGAGGTCCACAGGAAGTATATTCAAATTACATAATCATTTAAAATAACATCCAGAAGAAAAAGTAATTTGAAAGAAAAAAAAAGATGCAAGGGATAGCCTACAAGATAGATATATAAACATTTATAAGTACTATTTAGCTAGTACTCACTTTAATATATTAATTGCTGCATATCTATATAGAGATTACATATCTATACAGAGATTCAAAGACAGAGACACAGAGGACAACTACTGTGTAAAACAGGTCAAAAGCACATAGTAAATTAGTCCCTAAGCCAAATTATAGCCAGAATAAGGCATGTTACATCTGAGTCTATAATCAGTCTTTTTCCCCAAGTACAGTGCCTTTACCCTGAGCACAGTGATGATGCAATCACTTAGCCATTGCGGCTGTGCCCCCATTTTACACACTGAGTGACAGGTGGCGGGAAACCACTGCAGAACGAATCCAAGTGTCAATTTCACAAGTAGTATTGCTATTTAAAGCAGAAACTTTGTGTGAAATATTTAAAAATTTTTAGACATTTATCACATTCATCTATATATTAACATGCACAATATCATTAAAGACAAGGCTACCCGTGCTTTCTACTGACCACAAGAGGGTACTAAAGATGAAGAACAACAGACTCTACCACATTTAGATAATTCAAATAGAAATTCTCAAAATGTTGTACAATCATTTTTGTATAAAAGGCTATTACAAAGTTTTAAGTACTAGTACTAGCAACCTTTATTTTAATGTTATGTTTTAAACAAATAAGTGAATAAATATTCCTATATTTCTTCTTAGAATTGATTCATCATATATTTAATGCTTCAACAATATAAATATCACTCAGGATATTGTGAAATTTCCCATGTAACTAATGGTGTCATCACCATGTTGGTATGACCATTACCTAAAAAGCACTATAT